AATGCAAAGAAGGCTACAGAACGGCGGGAAACACTTTTCTGCACGTGGGTTCTCTATAACAACAGAACACTCCGTCGTGCAAAAGAGCTGCAATTTGGCGGGAACATAATTTAGCGGTGCCGAAGCGCACACAACCAAAAAATTCACAACTTTGGGTTGTGACAACTTTCTCTCTCTTTCTGGGCCCTTGTCTCTTTTTCTGGGCCAGCCCTCAGGGTCCCTGACCCCAGGCTGGGCTACTTGCCTCTCCAGCCCAGTTCTCTGGTTTCCTGACCCCAGGCCAGGTTGCTTAATGCTGAATGCCCTACCAGACACTTCTCTATAACCTCCAGACTTCCCCCATAGCCACACCCAGTCCTGTGGTATACATCTTAAATTGCAACATAAATGCAAGACACAGTTTTCCAACCAAGAGCCTACCCAGTTCTGAGCTGTTGTCTCTCTCTGGCAACGGTGGTGGGAGAAAATATTATTTGGGTGGACTGGGGGTGCAGAGGGCAGTGCGGGGCTGCCCCTCCCTCCCACAGGGCCATTGCAGAGCCAGCACATAGCAAGGATGCTGGGCGCAGCACTGGGGTGTGACGGTGGCTCTGGAGCAGTGGAGACCATATGTCTGTGCCACCGGCGGACACTTCTGAACACCTCTGAATAGAGACTTGCCCAGCCCAAAACGTGGTCTAGCCGCACCAGGTTGTGAAATGACACCACCCCCAGACACGGTGCTAAGTATCTGGACCCAAATAAGGAACTGGATTTTGGGCTGGGATTATACCCAGAAATCCTTCTTGGGTCACCCCAGACCGTGTATCTGTGCCATCAGGGGACACTTCTGGACATCTCTGGCCAGAGACTTGCCCAGCCCAAAGTTCAGTTTGTCCATGCCAGGCTGCCAACAGACAGCACCCCAGACGCTGTGCTAAATACAGAGCCAAATAAGGAACTGGATTTTGGGCTGGGATTATAGCTACACATACTTCTTGGGCCACCCCATGCTATGCCTCTGTGGCCCTAGGAGACAGTCCTGGACATCTCTGACCAGAGACCAAGGCACGGTTTGGCTGTGCCAGATGGCCAACTGACACCACCCCCCCAGGCACTGTGGTAAATATTTGGACCCAAATAGGGAACTGGATTTTGGGCTGGGATTATAGCTAGAAATCCTTCTCTGGCCACCCCAGACCACATCTCTGTGCCATCAGGGGACACTCCTGGACATCTCTGATGAAAGACTTGCCCAGCCCAAAGCAAAGTTTGGCCGTGCCAGGCTGCCAACTGACAGCACCCCAGCCACTGTGCTAAGAATAAGGAACTGAATTTTGGGCTGGGTTTACAGCTAGGAATCCTTCTTGGGCCACCCCAGACCACGTCTCTGTGCCACTGGGGGACTGTGTGCCACATGGTCTGGGGTGGCCCAAAAAGGATTTCTAGCTATAATCCCAGCCCAAAATCCAATACTTTATTCAGGTCCATTAATTTAGCACAGTGGCTGGGATGCTGTTAGTTGGCACCCTGGCACAGCTAAACCGCGTTTTGGGCTCAGCAAATCTCTGGTCAGATGTCCAGGACAGTCCCCCGGTGCCACAGAGGTGTGGTCTGGGGTGGCCCAAAAAGGATTTCTAGCTATAATCCCAGCCCAAAATCCAATACTTTATTCAGGTCCATTAATTTAGCACAGTGGCTGGGGTGCTGTCGGTTGGCAGCCTGGCACAGCCAAACCACACTTTAGGCCTGGCAAGTCTCTGGTCACAGATGTCCAGGACAGTGCCCCGGTGGCACAGAGGTATTCTGATGGGTGGCCCAAGCAGAATTTCTACCCATAATCCCATCCTTTATCATCATTTATCAGGTAAATAGCAAAAGTAGAGGTACCACATTTTGGAGCCAATTGCTTTAGAGAATAAGTGTGTTTTTAAAAACGGATTAAAATAGATTTCTGCAATGGAGGAGCAGGGAGTGCACAAACATTTTTATTTTTGCTCTCAAGCAAATCCCGGGACGTCATTCTCCCCCTGTACTCGGCCTTAGTGAGGCCGCAGCTGGAGTACTGTGTCCAGTTTTGGGCTCCACAATTCAAAAAGGATGTGGAGAAGCTTGAGAGAGTCCAGAGAAGAGCCACGCGCATGATCAGAGGTCAGGGAAGCAGACCCTACGATGACAGGCTGAGAGCCCTGGGGCTCTTTAGCCTGAAAAAGCGCAGGCTTAGGGGTGATCTGATGGCCACCTACAAGTTTATCAGGGGTGACCACCAGCATCTGGGGGAACGTTTGTTCACCAGAGCGCCCCAAGGGATGACGAGGTCGAATGGTCACAAACTACTTCAAGATCGTTTCAGGCTGGACATAAGGAAGAACTTCTTTACTGTCCGAGCCCCCAAGGTCTGGAACAGCCTGCCACCGGAGGTGGTTCAAGCGCCTTCATTGAACACCTTCAAGATGAAACTGGATGCTTATTTTGCTGGGATCCTATGACCCCAGCTGATTTCCTGCCCTTTGGGCGGGGGGCTGGACTCGATGATCTTCCGAGGTCCCTTCCAGCCCTGATGTCTATGAAATCTATGAAATCCTGAAAGCCAGTTCCTTATTCAAGCCATTATACTTAGTATAGTAGGCATGGGGGCTGTTAGTTGGCAGCCTGGCACAGCCAAACAGTGGTCAGGGTTCTTTGGGACAGTCCCCCAATGGCATCACCATGATATTTGGGGTGGCCCAAGAAGTATTTTGCCCCATACTCCCATCCTAATTTGGCCTTCATTTAGGGCTCTGTACTTGATGTGGGATATTATTTTACATATTAATTAGTATATATGCATAGCTGATTAATTTCTCTCTGTTTAGGATGTGGAAGTCATTAATAACAAATTTTTCTTGGGTCTAGATTAGCTTTGAAAAAGGAACTGGGAATAAGGAATAAGGAACTAGCAATAAGGAACAAACATCAGCCTCATCAGGGGGAGGGGGGGAGGAGTAGGAGAGTGGGCGCTCTGCTTTGCTGCAGCTGCAACAGCCACTGCTTCCCATAGGCGGCAGCCGGGACTCAAGCACCGCTGGGTGAGGCGGGGGGAGTGAGGGGACCGGCAGAGCAGGGCGGGCTGTGGGTTGGGAGTGAGGGGCACCTGGGGGTGGCAGACTGCAGCTGGGTGTGAGAGGCTATGCTAAGGAATGGGGTTTCTGTCTGGTAATCGCAGCCCAAACTCAGCTTTTTATTTGGTGCATAGGGCGCAGGCCGCAGGGGCTCTTGGTTGGCAGGCTGGCACGCAAAAACCGAGCTTGGGGCTGGGTAGCGCCCTGCCTGGACTTCTTTGGGAGCGTCCCCTGGCGGTAGAGGGGTGTGATTGGGGATGACCCGAGGTGGGTTTTGCGGTAATCCCAGCCCAAACTCAGCTTCCTGTTCAGCGCAACGGACACAGCACACAGGCCTGAGGGGCTGGCAGCGGACAAGCACAAACCACGCCTCAGAGCCGCGCCTGCCCTGCCTTCCTCGGGGGAGTCCGCGGTGACGGGAAGCGGATTTTGCCCCATAATCCCCGCCCAGTCTCAGGTCCTGCTCAGGGCAGCCTGGCGGCAGTGTGACGGGGCACCACACTTCCATGAGTAAAGCTATTTGTGATGAAATCTTCCCTCCTCAGCCCGCGCCCTCCAGTGCTCGCAGTCGCAGCCTCGCGCTGTTGGAAGCGAACCGGGAAGGAGGCGCCAGCTGCAGCCCCCGGTGCTCGGTAGAACCTGAAACAAGGCCTGGGGGGCAGCAGCAGGACGCTCAAACGCCGTGGCCTCGCGGGG